GAGGATCGGGAGAAAGTCTAACAAAAGATTATTCTCTGTATCTTGGTCTTTTTTTTTACTTAGTTCCACACAGTTGGTTGCAAAGAGACGATGGAGACGGAGGCGCCAATAGTTTTAAGAATTTACAACTCATCTTGGCATTATTTATTTTTTCACTCATGAATATGATCAACTACTTCACCCTTGGTCATTCCCCAATATAACATCCAGCTGAGCAAATGTCAATATTTTCAGTCCATACCATAACTACTGAATTGATTTTACATTGTACTGAAGACCTTGTGAGCTCGATTGAAAATTCTTTAGATGGTATTGTCCTGTAAGTTAACCGAAATATCTCTAGATATGTTAAATTATGTTTACTAAATTAACTTATAAAGATAAAAGAAATCAAGATAAAAGAAATAAATGCACCATTTATATAGTTCTTAAAAATGATAAAAAACTACCGTCTTCAAATCCGTACGCTTATTAATTTTGAAAGCCTTGTCAGTAAATGCCATTCACCCATCAAATGTCACAAAAGTTGATATTTTAAGAAATTGAATAAACAATTGTGTACAATTCGGCTCAATATTGGTCTGCCAATTTATATGAGCAAATGTGTCGAGAATTTCTTTTCCTTATGTGGCTACGACCCCTGTGTGTGTGTGTGTGTTTGGCATTTGTCAGTGACATCATTTCTCTTGATAAGTGGTCAAGTGGTGGCCACTACATTATACTAATGCCATACAATGCCAAACAAGGCATACTATATAGTATATCTACATACAACGAGTTGCACTCGAAAACTTGAATAATTAAAAATACAATATTGAAGTGCAAACAACTAACAAACTGGAGCACAGCACTTAGCCAAAGATATCCACTTACCGAGGATGAATGTAAGCTTGCTCTGCCACTTACATATGTATATTTATATATTTATTTATACATATACACATGCATACGAGTATGTACATGATGTGTGCAGATGCTGAGAAAAGTCGGCCCTCTACAAACTTGGTGACAGTGGAAATACTCGGAAGCTGTACAAACAATCGAAGCAAAAGCTGGAATGGCATAAAAAATGCTGCAGTTGTGTCTGTCCAAAGGGGCAGGAGGACAGTTCACATTTCCATTCACCGGATAACGAGTAGCAGGGTGAACATAAATTCGAATGCATTGGCCCTGAGAATTGAAAATAAAAGTTTTCAACAATCAAATAATAAAAGAAATGGGTCATTAAACCAAACTTAAAAAAAAGTCGAATTATAAATGAAAACGAACATAGAAATAGTAGATTTTATTTTAATATAATAGAAGTAGATAATCTAGATAATAAGTTCGTATATCACTGAGTCTAAAAAGCCTAACTTTGTTTCAGGAGAAAAGGAGAATTTATCGAGATATTTATCAAATTAGTTGAGATTCTAATAACGCTTTCCTTGAATATAAAAATTATTTCTTAAAGAAGAAAATGTTCTCGTTGCACATAACCGGACAGCTTTTGATTGTGTTCCTCGTTAACTCGATTGCTGGATTGGTTGGATTTGGAAATGTGGTAGAAACGACTCAAAATATAGTGAAAATATCTGGTTGTCAATATTTGTTCGCAATATTTCAGTACTAAAATAAATATTTATATCCTACATATACTTGTATATCCTTTTTTGTTTAGCTTTGAGCTTTGATGAGTTTGTGGATACTGAAACAAACTAATCATTCTCCAATCCTCTCAGTCCTTGGGTCATTTCGTTTTTTTAATTCTTTCTGTTCCATCTCTAGTTAGTTCGGCCATTTATTTCAGTCTTTGATTCATAAACCAGGCGGCTTCTCTATGTTTTAGCAATACGAAAATGTAAGTAAAATATGTATCTAATATAATAAATGAATCACAATTGTATTTTAATTTGTTATGAGAGGAGTTCTTCAAATATAAATTAGGAATTTCAGTCTCTATGCATAGAGCTGCATAAAACGGGCGGCTTCTCTAAGTTTTAGCAATACGAAAATGTAAGTAAAATATGTATGTAATATAATAAAAGAATCAGAATTGTATTTTAATTTGTTATGAGAGGAGTTCTTCAAATATAAATTAGGAATTTCAGTCTCTATGCATAGAGCTGCCACTGCTTTTTTTTCGTGAATTTTATTTAAAAATTGATCGTTCAATAATCGAAATAAGTTACTCTAACGAAGCTAGTTCATTAGTTTCTTTGGAAAAGAAATATGAATGAAATGAAACTATCATATGGTTAACTTTTTAAAAGAAAATAGAAAACTTCTTTAATATGTTTTCCTAGAAAGGGGAAAACTCTTAAACGGCAATGGTATCCAATTTCAAGTTTTCAATAGTCGAAATAGCTCACTAGAGGCACTTCATGAACTAAGTCAAATCAGTTATTTTTTAAAGTCGAGATAAGTAGAATTAGTTTGGATATGAGCGACGCCATAGAAATTTGAATACCTTCACAAATATCTCTCTGACAAATGACAAATACATACTATGTTACTTTTGAAAAAATTAACTGCGGGTAATAGAAGAGTTCTTCCAAAAAAGAATATACTGTTTGGTCGGAAAGAGGCACTTCAAAAATATATAAATGGAAATTCCACCCAAGTTTAAGTTCTCCTTTTATCTTCGTGAATTTCGTCGAACTACCAATTTAGTTTAATGGTGGAAATAACTTAATACGTACGAAGCCAGTGCAGTAATTCCTTTTGAAGATGCGAGTATTGGAATTAGTTCCAACCAGACGGACGTGCCTAATTTTAATAATTTGGAAAATATCAGGAACATATCCGATGTGACCAATATGGGTTTAGGTGCGTTTTTGAATATCATCGTAATGTTTTTCTTTCGGTGCACTCTCTTCAAACAAAAATAAACTGCGACTGGGGGTTATGGGTCATCCCTGCGAGTGACGTCGCGTCGTTGCGCGTAGAGTGTCAGCTCTGTCTGCGCTTTTAGCTCTCTTCCTCTTTTTCTTTGTCTCTCCCGCTTGGTGGCTGTTTGCTGTTTTATTTATTGTTTGCTCTCATTTGAGTCAATTACGACAAACGGAGATTGTTAATTGTTTTGATGCAGCCCCAAAACCCCAACCCCAACCCGAACCCAAAACCAAACCCTAACCGCCACAGTCGCTCCTCAAGTCCAAGACAAACAAGCCACATCCTGTAAACTGTCCTGCGACTGTCGATGGGCGGCTGGGGTGGACGTACATACATTTTATTTCATATTATTTATTCGCATGCCGCCATTGCTTTTGTTTTCTAGTTGCTGGCTGCCGTTGCCGCTGCCTCTGTTGTTGTTTGGCTTTTGGTCTCTGCTGGCCTTTGTTTGTTTGCTTTTGGCCAATAAACGTCAAGTGGCAGCTACAACAACAACAGTAGCAACAGCAACAACGGTAACAACAACAAACGCGTTTAATGGTGCGTTTAACATTTCATTGTGGGACCAGCTCCGACGTTGCGTTCCGATCTTGTTGCTACATTTTTTCATGACTTCTGACTTGTTGTCCTCGCTGGCGTCGTCGTGTCTCTGGCGTAAACTTTAATTGACTGTCAGCATCGTTCATTGAGGTAAGTTTTAATTAATTTTTGGGCCTATTTGCTACACTTGGCCACGCTAATATTTTTGCCTCTGTGTGTGTTAAATGGGCGGTTATATGAGTTCTGGTTGCTGCCTACGACACGGAGTGTGGCATTCAAAATGAGCTGCTAATTGTTTTGATCACATTTTCCAGATACTTTATCTAGCCTGCTAATCTAAAATCAATGGCAATAATCTGAAGTAAGTACAAGCTACATATATTACTATGTAATGCATATCGGACAGTTTGTGGGATTCAAACCGAAAGAAATCGCAAATGCTTGCAGAACTGTGTTACATATTTCGCAAATAATTTGTGACTAGAATATTTGTAGAATATTTGTAATTTATGTAATAACAACATATATCTTTATGGGGTCTGCTACGACGCCTCTTGATATATTTCAAAAACTAAAAAAGGAACACTCTCTTCGCTTTTGCAAGCAAAGAATAAGAATAGTTGGCTTGTTAAAAAATGTAGTTGAAGAACAAAAATAAACTCTCCCTATGTTAAGGTCAGAAGAATCAGTCTATCAATTTTGTGGACTCAGGCTGACACAGTTAACGAGATTTGCGGGTTCATACAGACAGACGGATGAACAGAAAAAAACACAACCTTTTGACTTCAAAGGCTGATCAAAGTATAATTTTAGAAGGTACTGTTGAAGAAGACTAGATTTCTACATTTCAATAACAATTTTTACATTGAAACTAACGATATGTTGTCAGTGAAGCCAAAATATGTGACGAGTCGTTATGATTTGCATTACGTAACTGAACTTCTTCATCCATCCATAAGAAAGACTGTTTATAGCGAAAGGCAATTAATCAATCGATATTACCAATTGCTAGGCTTAGCGTCTAATTATTTATATAATAAGCAAATTCCTTCCTTCGAACAGATATTATTTTAAAAGCTCTGGAATCGTTTATTTTTCATTTCAATTTAATTCAGTTAATTATTAATTATTTATTTCATTAATTACATTAATTAATTAATTAATTACACATTTCATTTAGTTTTATTTAATATTGAATATCACAATTACAATTAAGAATTTTTACTATTTGCCCTAGCTTTAATTATTGTTTAGTTATTATATTACTATTTTTATTATTTCTTATTTTATATGATTAATAATAATTGACATATGTATTTTATCATATTTAAAATTGTTGCATTTATGTGTGCTACAAATGTAAGTGTATGATATATGATTAGTAGTGATGATGATAGAGTATTTAGATGTGCTATTGCAAGTGTGTTTTAAGTCTAAAGTGCGTCTCGCTGGTAATTGTCTTCAGGTAATGCCGAAGATCGTCTTCCGAGCTGGCTAATTTATATCTTAATAAATTATTTCTCGATGTGGAGAAGGTGATTTTTTCTGCGTGCTATAATTCTATGCAAGAAAATGAAAGTTCTCAGTTTTAATCTATTTTACTTTTTATTGACTTTGATAAATTTTTATTTTCAGCAATCTTCCCCACACTGACTGTTTTTGAGAGAAGTTGATGTTTTCTTCAGAAATCTGTTGAGATCCAGCGTGTTCCATAGCTCTCTTAAGGCAATAAACTCAATGTCACAGCGCTCATGAAGTGCCCCGAAAGAAATTGCTTTCTAGTGAAAGTTTCTTGTCTTTAGAGAGCGCTTGAACATGCGAAAAGGAGTTTGCATATTGCAGTCTACTGTCGTCTTCTAAATCGAGAGTTTCAAGGATAGTAATAAAATATTAGCCGTAAATACAGAAACTGGCATAGATCCTGCTTAAAATTCTAGACGTGGTATATAGTTGCCATCTGTGGGAAGAAGGTTGAAGATTATCTTTAGTTGGCATATCTGCATATCAGCTCTATTGTATGTATACTCACCAAAGTTCCAACTTCGCTCGAGCTTATCCCGCTGCATTACGGCCAACTTCTCAACCTGCAACGGTACCAACATCTTTAGCTTGCGCCGATTTGTCTTACATATAGGTATGGCTTTGCCAAGTTCCAGCGGCTTTCTCTTCGGCTTCACAGGTCTCGAATAATGGCCGAGCGGTACCTTAAATGTTGACTGGTTCGTGTCTTCTTCAATCACCTCCGACTTTGACTTGTGTGGGCTAAGTCCGATTTTGGTGTTAATTTTTGGTAATTTGTAAATGTGGTTGGGAAAGGGAAGCACGTTCACATCACATTTCTGATCAGCTGGTTCGGGATCATGTGGCAGTTTTATTATCCATTTATTGGCATTATTGAAAGGCTGCGGCTTATAATCATAGCTGTTGCGCTTCTTCCATCTGCTTCCATGTTGCAATATTGGTGTGCCGCTCCCATTGCCCTTATATTCCTTCACGCCTTGCGACATGATATTCATGAGCTTGTGCACTATATCCGGGAAACGTTGGGTTAGCTTTTCCTGCGCCTGAAGTGCTCCGTAATGATGCTTAGTCAGCATTGAATTGGAACGATTGAGCTGAACGGTAGCATGATCGTTCTCCATAGATCGCGGAGGCCCTTTGCGCTCATGAATCTGCTCGCAGAGAAGACTGACTGCGGACATCCGATTGTAGACAGATGATGGCAGCGACTCTATATTATTTTCAGGCATGGCATGGGATATAGCTGAATCGCGTGATTTCGTTTTCAACTGAGCGACGTGACTGTAGGCGGCTTGACTCGGAACTAGATGTTGGAAATACTTGTAAGTGAACTGTGAGGATCACACTGGCTGGCTACTCACATTTAGTCCAGCGATTTGAAATGCCAAGCATTTGCGCTCCTCTAATTTTGCTAACACTCTTAGCCATCTTAACAGTGTCTTGCCTAATATCAAATTTTAGGTAACAACGTTTAAATTTTGCGTTTGTGTAAAACAAAAATTTCGTAGTTTTCTTTGCATGTGTCGAAAACACAATGACAATGAAACTGAAAGCATCGCACGACTTGCTTAGATATAGTATTATAGCGATAGCAGTCTAGAAAATGGAAAAATAAAAATAAAACAATTATAAGTAACTAGAGACTGTCTAAAAAACCCCTTAAAAGCCCTACTAGAAAATGGCTAGAAAAACAATTATAAGGGAAAAAAATCCGCCAAAAATCCACCAGAAAATATATAAAAAACGAACACAAATAGATGGAAAGAGAAAATGGCTAGAAATACCGCTATAAATAGCTATAAAACCCGCTAAAAAGTTATGGTAAAGCTGGTCCACTTTATGTTCATTTAACTGCTCCTGTAACCGTACTTTGGTTTCGTCACAGAAAACGTTGCCGATCCAGCATTCAAACCCCTCACATACGAAGTTTCACTTCAAAAACAGAATTGTTTGTCTCCACATCAGATATCTATACGTCAATTATCTTCAGATCAGATCTTTACGCGCTAGAATTCGACACGTCTGATGTCTGCGCGTAAGATGCCTACATATTAGATATAAACACGATGTTAGTTGTTAGATTGCCCAACGTCATGTGGTGATACTCCAGATATATCCATACGCCAGATATATCAAATGTCGTTGCTTTTAAACGTAATATAGGAGTACTTATATTTCTAATGACAAAATCCAAGAAGTGAACTACAAAGGTTTATTTCTTGAAATCCGTTAAACATCCATAACTTTATCCGGCTCGTGAGTCCCATATGTTCGCCTTACTCCTTTACTAGTTTTGAAAGGTTTACTTAGGTCGGGACATTCCAAGCACTATGTAAAGCAGAGAGTATTTATTGATTTAAACTATTCAATAATCTTTAAACCATATAATCGAGTTGCTTAAGCTCAGAAAGGAATCTTTTTATCATTTTCGTAGCCTGAACCATTTTTAAACAGGTTCGGTTAAAGGGATTAAGAAATGGAATTTGTTGAAAATCCAAATGATACATTTTCCGGATGTTTAAACTAAGTCTCGAATTCTGTCTGCTTTGCAGATTTATTTGTTGAGCGTGGAATAAAATATTGAAAAAGATTTCAATCGTCTTACTTGGTTGTAGCAGAGAACTACCCGTCATAGAAATCTTTTAATTTTTGTATTGAATTAATATAATATTTTCGACATATAGATGTCTGATGGTAGCTTAAGATAAACAGACAATATTCTAAATATTTACTATTTATCTACTGCTTGTTTTTTACACAAAAGATTCCAAAACAGCTGCCTTCTAAAAGGATCAATTTAGTATGACTTTTAAATGCGATCCCATTAGGCGTCTCAATTAAACATTTCCGGAGCCTAAATTGAGGGTAAGTTGAGGGCCAAACTCAACTGAACAGAGTTCAAATTAATGCCATTTGATGTCCATTGATGCCCATCGCTTCATTTGCCAAATGTGCTGGCAATATTATTTAAGTGGCTGCTGATGGAACTTGCCCAAAAAAGCATTAAGTTTTTAATATTTAACGTTGAGGGAAAAGGTCAGAGGATAATGAAAATGACCTGTCGAAGGTAAATGGACTTAAGCCATTTTGGCCAACCAGCCGGGGCAACATCATCAGCAGTGGCCGGAACGTGCTCGAGGTCTTGTCTAAATCTTTTGTTTTGTGTTATTTAGAAAAATTGCTCACGCACGGGTTCGTTTGGGAGATCTTAAGTGTTGAAGCTGATGCCGTCGTTACTGTTGTTGTTGCTCCTGTTTGTGGTGTATCATGTCCTGTAGCTTGTTTTGCTTTTGATTTTGGGATGTTTTTTATTTGTTTTTGTTTTTATTTTCCTTTTCTTTTTTTCTAGCCGCTTTCGTATGTCGCTTAAGCGCATTAAAAGTTCTTGTTCTTGTTGCCGTTGTGCAGTTTATTGAAAGCACATCACGTTTTGCACCTGATTTGCTGACAATCCTCGGACATTCTAAACAGCTCACCTGGTCGACAGCTTAAGCAGTTCCAACTTTTTGTACCTGCGCCGCATACTAAAACATTCTCTTGGCCATCATTTTGTGGCGCGTCAATAATTAAGACGACTTTGTTGCTTGTGGTTTAAAGAAAAATGTTCCTTTCCTTTGATTAATATTTAAAGCCTAACAAATGTTGTCTCAGATGCAATAACAAGCTAGGCTTTTATCGATGCTGGTCAATTAGATGGATGACCTGAATAAGTTTTAATTGACAGGCAAATGACAGCTGCCGGCTGAATACGTTCGACAACACTTGAATGGATAATGGCATTCAATTTTGAACGTTTTGCGTTGCTTTTCGAAGCCCAAAAAATCAAACAAAAGCTCCGCTTCTTTCAAAGTTATTTCCCAAATGAAGAATCTGAACATTTAGAAATCAAATGAAAACCTAATCAAATATATTTTGTTTATGATAAATGTAAACTGCTAAAAACAAATACAATTTATTTGTAAAACAAATGTCCGATATTGCCTTTAAAAATAACTTGAGGATCTGGCGTACTTTTTAAAAAACTTCTTTCTCGAATTAAATGTTTTGTGCGCTGAAAATCAGAAATATTTTCTGTTAAGTTGAAAGTTTAAAACTATTTTTTATTCCACGTCAAAAATTGATATTTTATATTTTAAAGAAGTTTCAAGTTTTATCCAAATCGGTTTATTCAAAGAAAAGCCCACAAACTGCAGGAGGGGACTCCCTCTGCTTCTTTTTGCTTCTTCTACTATATAGTATAACTCAGCAGCGAAAGTTTGATTCGCTAAAGGGTATTTCGCTGCTGGGTTTGATCGACTATATCATTCTCTCTTGTTTAAATTTAAAATCAATACAATTCACACAATAAAATTAAATTAAAGCTTAAGTAATATAGTTCTAATTTTAAGTTAGTATTCATATAATAATGTTTATGTGTTGTTGCTTGATTTGGTGAACATTGAAGCTGCTTGAATCAGAAACAGAACAGTGTGATTAACTTAATGGCCTTCTTAATTTTGCTGCCATGACTTGACTCGATCAATTAGAACACAAAGCAAGAAGTCGATTGTTTAGCGGCTGACTTGTCTTGAAAATACTGCTTAGTCACGTACAAGGTCGTAGCATCGCGCCAAACAGTGTTGCCAATAGCGAGCCTGTTTGCTTGCCACATCCGCCACATCGATGCGTACTAACAGCAATGCCTAGCCTGTTGTTTTGTGGCCTGTTCGTGTGGGTGAACTAAACCAATACACACACACACACCCATTACCCACTACCCACCACCCAGCACCCAGCACCAACAATACCCACACACCCAACAAACAAAGCAGCAATAATTTGGGTAATTAGATTGCGATTACATTACAACGCGGCGTATGCGCAATGTGCGCGTTCGTTTAAAGCTACAGAAGTTGCAGTGGAAATTGCCGCTTCCACCATTTAGCTAAGTGGCTCGCTGCGCTTTATACAAGTATACTTGTAAACTGCTGATTATGTGCTTCGGAGGAAAATAAGAATGCAACTGGAATGTTGATTCAGCAACTGCTTTTGGCAATTGAATTGATCAAAAGGCGAAGCTATCAGAAAGAAGTAGTACATAAAAGAAATAGTAAAGAAAACTTCACTTTAGTCTGCATCCTGCACTGATATGCTCTGCTTTGGATTTATTAACTGTTGAGTTGGAAAAACTGCAGACAGAATGGTTAGTGTGCTCATGTCTGCGTGTGTGTGTGTGTGTGCGTGTGTGTGTATGCACCATTAGTTTAAGCCAACAAGTGCAGCAAACGAAGCGAAACCGCTGCCGGACTCACTGCTGACTAAGCAGGGCCCAGCGCGTATCTTCTGGACAGCACTTGACTGCCCAGGCTTGCATAAAATTGCACAAAATTGATGATGAATACACAGACAAATTTGTATGCGTTACAGTTATGCGAATCAGTATGCGCACGCTTAGGCCATAAGTCAATTGAAAGCGTATACAGTACGGACGAGTATGTCAAGGTTTAAATACACACAAAAGTGATTACTAAAACTTCAAACTAGAATCCTCTTCTCTCTTCCAACATGTACAACAAGTTTTCAATACAAGTTTTCAGTGACAAAAAACACTCATTCAAGATTGAGTTCAACTTAATATTCGGGTTCTTAGCGGCCTATTATGGCGACTAAAATACCCCATTAAGATTAGTACTGTATTACTACATTTCCACCCCCCCCCCCCCCACCTCCTTCTTTTTTAAATTATGTTATAAGTTTTCTTTTTCTTTTGTTATAGTATTAACTTTAAATAAATAAATTATCTCTTAGAAAATACATATAGCGGCGACGGCAATATGCTTTACAAGTAAATACAACCAGGGACAAAATTATGATGCATCAAGATTTCTGAAACTTTCACTTACGAGCTCTAAGCTAGACACAATCGAAATTTATATTGACATAATTAAATAATCAATTAATATTTATATTATTAATTATGCATTAAAATTGACTCCGTTTTTTTATGTGCATCTCAATTCATAATAGTATCAGGAGCAGTAGAAAAGAACAATACGGCGGTTAAAATTGGATTCTTTTGAAAATATAAAGCGTGACCGATCAGGTTCAGTTATATAGTATTTTCCATATTTTCCGACATTGTTCCATCTGATTGAGATGCGTTAATTGTTCGAGATGCAATGTCGCTTCGTAAAATTGTCTGCTTCTTTAAAACTATTTATCCTATATTTTTGTATCCCCGCTTTCTTTTCATTTTTTTCTGTCAGCTACTTATTTACCTTCCACGTTAATGGGAAAAACTATCCTAGCCCATACAAAATAATCATGCACTCCTGTATTCTGGTTGGAACTCGATCAAATTAATCGCTTATTAAATTGAAAGCTAATACAATTCAGTTAGTAAACACAATGTTGGTTAGTAAAATTTGGAAATATTCATATACACTTTTTTTTTCTTTGCGAAATAAATTCTTCCAAAATAGTTAAAAGTATTTTCCATTCAACATTAACTTTACCAATTGTTTATTATTAGCAATTTAGCTAAATTCGAATGATGCTGCTTCCTTCTGTCTTGTACATATGTATATATCCCATTTTTATCCTTCAGGTACAGAGTATAAAAACGAATCGAAATTCATCAAAAAAGTATTCAAAAATGGAAAGAGCCTACCTACTTATTATAGTTTTCTTTGCACTTCAATTTTTTGCTTTAGATAAGGTTTTGTATCGCAATTAATCTGTATTTTGTAACTGAATTTCCCAACTATTTTGCTTAAAAAGAGAATGAATTCGTCTTAATTTAAAACGAGGATTGAGTTTTAGTTTGGAGTGACACATATACTATGTAAAAATAAGAATTAAAAAAATTGCTTTAACATTGTAATTAATGTTAACATAGGCAAGGGTGTCGAAAACAGAAACTAGTTACTTTATTCTCCTAATTCAACCCAAGCCTTATATACTATACTTAGTTGAAATATTGCATTAAGAGCTTTCCATAGCTAGATGAAGGGCAACAACATTGCCAATTAAACCAGCATAGAGCTTTTGAATAAAATCAGATTCATACTCTTACTAAATATTTTTATTGATGAGATTGATTAGCCGGAAGTGTACGTATGCTCAGAAAATGCTTTAAGTCGAGCAGACACCACTAAAGGAATCGAACAGAGTCCAGGCGAAGCAGGCTCTTTTCATATTTGAAGCTGCAATGGGTTGGTTTTAGTTTATATTCAGACTATGATTTGTATTTGTGTGCACACCTACCAATGCTTAGGTGTGATGCTCGTTTCCAATGCAACTAACAACGCCATCCGCAAGGCACACATGGCCCACAGGGTCCACAAATGCCAGAGCAGCCGCCGCAGTAGTTGTTGCAAGAATCGCAGAAGCCTGAGGGCCCACAACCGCCACAAGAGCCGAGGCATGCGCCGGGGTAGCACGGATAGGAACACATTTTTGTTAGTTACTTGAAAGCTAAGAAATGAGAAACTGTTTATTTTTAGCAACGAATAATTTCTATTATTGTTTTTTTTTTACACAAACTTCGCCTGGAACTGTCTCGAGAACGTGTACAATTTAGTAGCAAGGCTGTCGAAGGAATGAGTTTTCAGTGCTTAAAAAAAATCCACATGAGTTATTTAAAATTCAAAGCCTGCTCGGTTGCCGCATTTCTTATAGGAGTAACAGTCTCTAAGAAAATATTCTAAATTAATGTTAAAATATTCTTAGAATATTTAATAAGATATTTGGCAATAATTGAGCCCGGTTTAGGCTCTTCTTGTGAATTATCGATATACGGGCTTTCAATTTATTTAATAAAGTTTTCAATTAAAGTTTCGAAATGAAATTGATTTGGTGAAATTTAAGGCCAACAATTTTTGAAATCTTCGTGTTCATACTTATAGAAAAATTGACTCATCTCCTGAAAAATAAACACGTTTCGATCTAATGCTCTTTTTTCATTCCTTTAACTTTTTTTTGTTTCTCCATCCCCCTCATTTTTAAGGAGAGCTATGCCCTTTTTTGTTGGTCTGGGCCAAACCAAATTTGGTAGCTCTAGCTCTGATACTTTTCATTATTTTCTTCGTGTTCATACAGACAGACAACTGAACTCATCTCCTGGTGACGAATTCATTACTCTAGCATTTAGATATATTTAGCAGAATCCAAGCTGATGAGCTGTGAGATGGATATAAGGAAATGGCTTTATAGACTCCTCTAGTCGGAAATGGAAGTCAGACGACGGCGTAGTATGGCTATTCTTACCAAATATCACATAGTGGTCTCCCAAATATACAACAAATTGGTTAATTAACTTAGCAATCATTTAACAAAAAGTATTCTTCAACAGTTGTATGTAAAAGTAAAAGTGAGTATTAAAAGCTTGTATATACAATTATAGAAGAAATGTTAACAACAAAAACAATAAACGGGATTCACTTTCATCTATAGACGCCAGAGGCAATTCAAACAACTCAGATTAGTAGGCCTCGAAACCTTTTAATTAAATTCTTCCCAAAGTTTCAACTGATGTGGATTCCAGGCCACGTAAACATTAAGAGCAACGAAGTCGCTGACACCACAGCTGAAAGTTTTATGAATCTATCACGCATATTAACAGCAAATCTCAATCAATGGATATTCAAAAACATATTAAAAACTCCAATATATGAATACCATTTAATTATTTTCTCAAACGCTCAAATTGTAACAATATATAAATCTTGATAAGAATTTGTGCAAAGATTTCTATCTACATACGGAACAAAAATGTTCAAGTTTAAAAATTACTTAAATGTTAAATGTTTTATAGTTATAAGACATATAATTACTTGTTCCAATTATAATCATATAATCAATACAATAATTTACTCTCGACAGAACTCTCTCTAAATTGTATCAAAACTGTCCTCTATACCCATCTCCGGGGAAATCTCTGCCCACTTTGGCTGGAGATTTTCCCTTTTTTCATTTTTCTCTTTCTGTTACATTTTACTTACTTAGCTCTTAAGTAGAATGAAGTTTGCTCCTCTACTATATATTTTTTTTAGTGGTGTAGGTCTATAATGTCTCTGACAACATATGGCTGTGAGTCGAGGTATTGCTGGCCAAATGGCAAATAAAACTCCCCCAACGTGTCGGAGGCATTAATAGACATTAATGTATAGTTATTATTGAGGCTTTCTTATTAGTAAAGTTTCAATTGTAAATTAAAATTAGTAAAATGTATCGGCAGAATTATTTGTTAATATATTAAATAAATAAATAAATTCTGTATTTATAGGGAGCTGAAGGCCCCGTTAAATTCTAAGCTAACATTTAATTTGTATTTATATGTGGTTGTAGTAAATAATAATAATGTTAACAAAGCCTAGATGGCTACGAATTCATTGTCATAAGTAAAGCTATGAAATCACTTTTGAACAATTTTGAATATTAGATAACTCAAATATAAAAACATGGTGCTGAATCAAAAACAAGTCCACAGTTTGGTTTTGCAATTGTTTATTTTATTCGCTCTGTTTTCTATTTCATACTGACATTCCAGTTCCAGACTATTTACAGTAGTTTCTTATGGCTGAAGATGGCATCTGCCGGGTTGTTGCGTTGTCTACCCGCCTGGAATGTTGTGGCATCATCTTGAGGTTGGAGTGGTTGCTATATGGTGCGACACAGTTGGCTCCTGAACTTCCTTCTGAAGAGAGGTTAGCAGCATCCACCGCAGCCACCGCAACCGCCGCATGGGCCGCAGCATGGCGAGCAGCATGGGGTGCAGCAAGTATAGCAGCAGGTGGTGTAGCAGCATGGTGAGCAGCAGGGGCTGCAGCAAGGGCTGCAGCACGAGTTGCAGCATGGATAACACATGTTGATAGATGTGATTGGGGCTGTGGGCGCTACAGCAAACACTTTCTTTATAGGAGCCGCCTTTAGCTAGTAGGCTTGGGGCTTACCTTGCTGCGCACTTCTTCACGGAAATAGGAGGTGTGTATTACACCGATTAGCCTCGATGCTGTTGTTTGATGCGATCGAACGTTCCAGGCGTGCTCCGGATTGGGCGCATCAGTTGCCGCTTACCTCATGTGGAATGTTGCGTCTCATTAGGCTGAGTTATGTGCAGTAACCGATCAATGATATTGCTAGACAACCTGTTGGATAATTCAGCGATTAGTCTAAATCTGGGATATTGTATTTTCCTAATTTTACTTACATGCCCCGAAAAATTTTGTAAAACTGCAAAAAAAAATATTTTTATGGATGTTTACTGTATGAGCTCTGGAAAGCGAATGAGAAATTGTAGAAACATGTTTATGCTTCTCCCTGACAAAGTACCGATTTGTATTTCAAGGCATACTGTATGATTTGAATGGACTACCTTGATGACTGCGTTTGGTTTTTAAAACTAAAATTTTTTCAATACATAGTACGACTGCCTTAAAACATGGTTGCTGGCTTCTTTGTAGCATGCTTACGTATGCTTAATACTATATAGCAGTACCATGAATTATCAAAGTGGAGTCAAAATGGATACACTTAACTTGTTACTAGACAGAACTTTCATGAAGCTAAAATAAACAACGATGTTTTGAACCACAATGTAAATCTGAAAATAAGGCTAAGGACTGTAAAATATGATAACGCTGTTGTTGCAACTCTTGGACAATTTAAATCCATATGTAAATTAAACATTAATGAAAATGGTGATGAACAATAGGTGTATAATTTGTCTATTAATAATGATATTGCGTTTTCCAAGCATTGCTATTTCCAAGTAACATTCTATTTTGATCAACCAATGCCATCAAAATAT